CTCTTGGAATGGTTAATTGCTTTGCTGAAATTGTGAAATATTTTATTGACGTTTTTATTAGGTTTTCTGTAATTTGTATGAATTGAGAGGTTTTGGATTGAATACTTTGAATTTGAAAGAATTATACATCATATTGGACTTTGATGATAATATACAGATTTTTCAGATATCGATATTGTACATTTTTCTGTGAAACACAAAAACTATATATATGGATCACAAATGTGAGCCATTTTTCTGAATGTTGCCTCAGGCATATTAATCTATAGGGCTGGTTGTGTCAAAGTCACACCGATAGAACGCGAAATCCTGGAAGTGTAAGAGAAAGGGAGAGAAAGAACAATGTTGTATGTAATAGGATTAGGCCTAGGTGATGAGAAAGACATTACATTGAGAGGGCTCGAAGCCATCAAGAAATGCTGCAATGTGTACATGGAAGCTTACACTTCTCTCCTCTCCTTTGGCCTCACTCCCGATGGCCTTTCGACACTAGTAAGTCCCATAATTTTTTTTGTTTTATTTTCCATTTCTTAGATTGTGAAATATGTGATGGAGTGTTATTTTACTGTGTGCTTATGCAATAAAGTTTGCATCTTGGTGGATTAAAATTCCCAGGAGAAGGTTTATGGGAAGCCAATTATTGTTGCCGATAGAGAAATGGTGGAGGAGAAAGCAGACACTATGCTGTTAGAAGCTCAGGTTTCTGACGTGGCATTTTTGGTCGTTGGAGACCCTTTTGGGTAAAACATTTTTCTTCTGCACATATTTTTTTTTTTATCATCTCCAAACTGTCAGATTTCATAATATAGTGGTCTTTATCTGATTTCAAAAAGTGTTACTTAAACTTTTATTTTTTATTATTTTATTTTATTTTGGCATGAGTAATGTTCTGTTCATATTTTTCTTTTTTCGGTTGTGTAGAACAAGCGCTCCATTTTGAATTATGTCAGATGTTGAATTTAATTGGTTTGTCTTTGTTTATATTTGATGTTATTGCAATGGATACAGAGCAACTACACATTCTGATCTTGTTGTCCGGGCAAAGAAATTGGGTGTGGAAGTTAAAGTGGTGCACAATGCATCGGTAATGAATGCAATAGGGGTCTGTGGCTTGCAGTTGTATCGCTATGGAGAAACAGTGTCAATACCTTTCTTCACCGACACCTGGAGGCCTGATAGTTTTTACGAGAAAATCCAGAGAAACAAAATGCTTGGACTACACACACTCTGCCTGTTAGGTGAAGTTGATATTGTGCAGTCATGGATTATTTATTTTTGAAATTTAGGGTAACTGGGAATAACTATTTAATGATCAGTTATAATTCAAGATTGCAAAAGCCCCATTTGTGTTTGTATTTGTTTAACCAATATAGCCCGCTTGAAGGTGCAACTTGTAGAATACACTCAACCAATTAAGGATGTATAAAGTTAGCTGCACATTTTTGTTACATCGAACCTCAAGGGTAATTATTGTTACGAATTCTTGGATTTATGTAAAAGATGATTTATAGAGTTGAGTTCCTGCTTTTATGAGATATGACTATATGGTCGATGAATACGAGATTTTGATTCTTTGTGTTTCTTAATACCAATCTTATTGCGTGTTTTGACATTTGCAGATATACGAGTGAAGGAACCTTCATTAGAGTCCTTATGCAGGTTAGCAAGTGCAACCATGATATAGCTATTCCTTTGTTTTATATCTTCATTCTGTTGGTGTGTTTGTTTGGGTATATACTACTTGGACAAGTATTCACGAGCTTTCTCGCATGAAAATTGTAGAGGGAAAAAAGTGTATGAGCCACCGAGATTTATGACCATAAACAATGCAATTGAGCAGCTCTTGGAGGTGGCCGAAAAGCAGAGTGAGCCAGGTAAACCTACAAAGACAATTATTTTGTTATTTCCTTCTAATAACTTTTACTTACAAAAATTTCTGCTTAATATAATCTTAGATATCTTGATCTTCTCTAGAGCAATAAATTATACGAGTTTTGTGAAAAATGAACTGTATTGATCCAACTCACTGTCTATATCTGTGGTTCTACTAATATTGAAGTCGAATCATTGTTTCCTTTTCAAAATGGCAGTGTACAATGAAGACACGATCTGCGTGGGCTTGGCCCGAATAGGTAGTGAAGATCAGGTGATAGTTTCCGGGCCCATGAAGCAACTTTTGACGATAGACTTCGGGCCTCCTTTACATTGTCTTGTCATAGCAGGTGATACTCACCCTGTGGAAGATGAAATGCTTGAATTCTATAAAATCAACTCAAGCTCGAAAAATGTTTGAAACCGGTGTCTTGCTTGGAGGATAATGCTACATTATAATTTTGTTGACATGTCATTTTTTGCTTGTGCTAAAAGTATTCTATGAATCATTGGAAAGACACAAATCATGCAGTGGGAGAATCTTGGTTTTGAAACAGCTTGGATTGTTCATGAATGATGGGGTTTCCCTTAGAAGATTGCTAAATTTGTGCAATACCTTCTTGAAAGAAGTTTATTTTTTGGGTACCCCTTAATTGTCGTGTATTTCATAGGCTATTGAACGCAACTTTTGTAATTTATTGAGGTCGCCTAATGGAATTTTTTTCTGCATTTGCTGTTTATCATAAATGTTGATTTTTCCCCCGTTNCCCAAGCACACAGATTTTTTGTTTTTGTCTTTAGCTGTTGGGTTCTATAAGTTTAAGTTATTGACATCATGTCTGTATACGGCATATGATAATAGATGCCAATGCCATAATTCACTCGAACGTTTAGACTTTCATATTATGTTTGATATGTTCATCGTCATTTTCATGAATTGAACTTGTTGATAGCGTACTGACCGATTTTTTCAACTATTTCTACTCTACGTCGTTAATAAATTTAATTTCAGGAAAGCGATAACTCGTTATCGCATATAGTTTACTAAAATGGATTTCATTTATATTATAAATACCCAAATACGTAATCTACACAAAATATTTTCTAGCATGGGTCATTAATATTTGAAGACCCAAAAATTGACTGCAGGACAAATCTCACCCTAAGGTTGTAAATGAGATGAGTTAAGAGTATTGGATCTCATCTATAGAATGCTTGTTTATGACATAATTTGCTCACATTTATTTCATACTCAAAATCTAACTCAATTTTAACACAATCTCACTATCTTCAATATTATTTATATAATTAAATATTATAAACCAATCATTCTTACATATCACATCAACTTTAATTCACTATTCATCCATTCACATAATTTTAACTACCTACCATTTTCAATCATTTATCTCCTACTTTTACATCAAATTAATAATAATTATTTTATTTTAAGTATTATTTTAATACATTATTAAAATCTCACTAACAACTAATCCTACCACATTTTAAAATTTAACTCTATTTAATCAAAATAACTCATTTTGAGCAAATTATTTCATAAACAAGCATGGAAGTTCTTTTCCTTTTTTTTTCTTTTTGTTTTTATTTTTAATTAGAAAGTGGTTTAGTAGGAGCATTTAGGTAAATTACCTTATAATGAGCGGCTGAATGGATATTCAACCTTACAAACTTCAGTCTCAAGCTTTTGGAATTTAAACGCTCAGAAAACCTTTAGGCTACGTTTGAATTTATAGATTCATCAAGGGATTTGAAATATATATATTTTAAATAATATATTTTTCGACGTATCCAGAAAAGCATGAGTTCGAACAGGACACTATCATTTGATGTGAATAATATATTTTTCGCGCACCATCGGGTATTGAAGCCAAATCGTTTACATTTAAAATAGCCATGGAAAATAGTAGTAAATAGAAGCAAAAATGAAAAAAATTTCGACGTCGCCGAAAAAGCATGGTTTCGAACACGACACTATCATTTGATGTGAATAACATATTTTTCGCGCACCATCGAATTTTGAAGCAAAATCGTATACATTTAAAATAGCCATAGAAAATAGTAGTAAATAGAGGTAAAAAAGAAAAAAAATTTCGACGTTTCTGGAAAAGCATGCTTTCGAACACGACACTATCATTTGATGTGAATAATATATTTGTCTCGCACTATCATGTTTTTAATCAAAATCGTATACATTTAAAATAACCATGGAAAATAGTAGTAAATAGAGGCAAAAATGAAAAAATTTTCGACGTCTCCGGAAAAGCATGGATTCGAACACGACACTATCATTTGATGTGAATAACATATTTGTTGCGCAACATCGTGTTTTGAAGCAAAATCGTATACATTTAAAATAACCATGGAAAATAGTAGTTTTTACAAGTTCAAATTAATCTTAATACATGTTCGGATGATAATAGAAGTTGGAGAATTTTAAATTCACGCCAGATAGACTTTAGTCGTTATTTTGAACGATTTTAGACGACTACGCAAATCAAGCCATTTGAGATCCACTTTTTATCTCACGTTGACGACCACATCGTTCACAATTATGACTCTTCATTTAGATTCATCACCACCACGAGCCAACACCATCGATGCGAGCTAGACAATGAATTTATAATCTTTCCAAAAATTCATTCAAAGAGTTTGAAAGTAGCAAACTTAAATTTCAAAGTATTCAAAATCGAGGGATTTCAAATCCCTCGATCCACACGTGGCCTTATGATGCAGAATAGTGTTTTATTATTANTGTTGGACAAGTTAGTTTTAGGGTTTTGAGAGTCTTATTTAAATGACTCATCTTCTTTGATTTTCTTTGGTTGATTTTGAATAATAATATATAATTTATCGAGAGAATTCTCTTCTCTTTATTCCCAATCGTCTACCATGCTACATCAATTGGTATCAAAAGTCAGCACGACTCACGATGTCGCCACGACAACAAGATGCAATCAATCGGCGTGACGTCTCTATCAATGATCGTTTCAGCAGATGGAGGACCGATTTCTCAGATGGACGATTGATTCACATATCCGTCAACGGGTATCGAGGAATTGCGTCTCACTATCCATATCATGATGGAGGGTGCGCATACGTACCGCAACGCAGATGACTGGGGCGTGCGTGGGGGATTCCACGGCGGACGTGGAAGACGTGGCATAGGCGGGGCGCCCTGCCGGCGTTTCCCCACAACCGCTGCCCGGCGAGGACGAGGGCGAGGAGACTATTTCAAACGTCAATCCTTTCGGTGACCGACAGGTGCGCCGTGACACCGAGGACTTCGACGAGGACGACGTTCCCGACTGACAGTGTTTGGCCCATGTTACGTGGATTTTGAGGAGCAGTAGCATCGCGAGCCTCGGCGTGAGCCCGAGGGCTTTGGTGAGTCGCGTTAGGAGACATGTTTTTGGGTGGGGCATCTTACCGACGACGCGGGCGATTTCTACGACGCTCCACTGATTTTCGATGAGGAGCCTCTGGAGACGGAGGAAAACTTGACCGAGGATGTAGGCGGATCACGTGCTTTGTTCATAGAGAACACCAACTTCTACGATGGACCACTGGTCTTCGACGAAGAAAATCGAGGATAGATTAGCGGTATGGGGCACGTACGTCGACTGCGGCAGGTTCCATCTGTGGGCAGTTTGCGGTGTTTTTCTTGTCCTACGCTAAGTTTTTCACGTGCACTTTTGGTCGGGGACTGCGGCGCCACTGCCTATGTTCGATGAGGAGCAGCCAGCGACTGAAGAACATGTCTGCGATGATATATGCCCGTTGAAATATATGACCCTTTCTGACCTACAAATGGTTTCTTATGATTGTATTTTACGCAATAATGGGGTAGGCGTGCATTTCACCTAGAATGTTGGTGGGATAATTCCTCAATCCCTGGGCATGCTATATACACAAGCTAATCTCATATTGAATTACAACGATCAAGCTAATCTCATATTGAATTACAACGTTTTGAGTGAGATAATTCTTGAACAACTTAGTCACTACTTAAGCCTTGAAAAACTGAATGTGTCCTATGACAAATTTACTGGGTTCATCCCGCTTTTGGGTGGTTTGATTAGGCACTCAGTTGTCGAGCATGTTGTTCCCGATAACGGATACTTGCAAGCTCGACTCCCTTCACAACTTGAAGAATATCAGAGGCTGCTTGTTTTCTTGGGCTACTGCAATTATCTTTGTCGATTAATGGATGAACAGAGGACGATTCCATTTGAGATCGGCGTTTGTTTATGGGACAGCGGTTTGACGACGACAACGAGTTCGCGTCGGATTTGGTGGCGAATCCTGCTCAACCGGAAGATAATGATGTAGAATAGTGTTTATTATTATTATTATTAACAACATTAACATTTCATATTTATTATTATTATTATTTAATATTTAGGGTTTTGAGAGTCTTATTTAAATGACTCATCTTCTCTGATGTTCTTTGATTGATTTTGAATGAGGATATACAGTTTATCGAGAGAGTTCTCTTTCTTTATTCTCAAATGCTACATCACCTTCATTCATTTGCAGCTCTATTCGGCTAGACATTGCCATGGTTCACCTGACCCAGAACTGGCACGAGCCCAGACCGGCCAGGCCCGTGGACCACAGTGTTAGTGTTATATACTGAAAGCTTGGCTTTGCATGTTATTACACATTTACCCTTTATGAATGAGAATCATGTTAGATTAAACAAGTTCTACGTTCTGTTGTTCTGCACTTAGATAGGGTGGGTCGTCATCGGGCGAACCGAAGATCACTCTGTCAGTCACTTGCGAACAAGAATAGTTGTTCACAACCTAGATGGACATGAACACCCCATCCGAACGGTTGTAGTGTCAACTGTACAGTTTGTCTTGACTGATTAGTTGCACTAGTACATTTATGTATTGAACAGGATCCCAGAGAGGAGAAGTTCATTTTATACTGATCGTCGTAAATGAACTAGGCCTCGGTTAATTACTGCGTTCTCTTAACCCGTAAGATATTAAACAGGCAGATATATATAATATATATTACTTTGATTCACATGGGTGAGGTTCAGTTCGCTGGATTAATATTCCTACTGTTTTGGGTAATATTATTATATATAGGATGTGCTGTTAGGATATTTACGGTCACCATGTGCGTTAGTTTGATGATGTCCCCGGAGTGAGTTCATGAAGGATTGTTATGCTAAACCCTGCAGGTGGATTAAATTCCGGCATAATAAGAATGTGATGAACGAGCGCTAGCTTCGGTGAAATAATAATAAATTAATTAATTCTTGATTGTCAGTAATCGAATTAATTAATGGACATTATATCTTAAACGTGGGGAGGTAAATCGAGTAATTATTATTGGAGTCTCAAATGTAATTTGGGCTAGGGAAAGGGAGTGCAATAATATAATGTTGGTGGCCCATTAATATTATTTAATTAATTAGAGGAGTGGGTTTGGCCCACAGTTAGTCTAATTAATTAAGGAGCCCTTTTCCTAATCTCCTTAGGGTCCCTACTGTAGCTCTATATATACATCATTAAGCTCATGAGAAGAGAATAGAAGTCTCATTCTCACGTGAAACCATCTCTCTCTCTAGATCTCATTCGAGCTTTATCTTCTTCTTGTTGCTCCACTGGTACAAGTTGAAGAAGGGTGTATTGAGTAATACAGTAGAAGATCTGTAGGTAAACCGAGACGAAATTGATTTTGACCTACAGAACTAACCGGAAGTCCGATTGAGACGTACAGTATACCCAG